TGTGTCTCGGAGAGGCTGCAGGATCCGTGTGAGAGCAGTAGCACTCCCAGTTGCAATTCTTTTGACCATGTCGTGGCTCAGTCGATTAAAGCGCGTCTGGAATCATCCTGGACGTAAGTTCGAACCCTCATCACGGCCCTTGTGGATTTATTCATTTGATATATCAGGCTATTGTGATCTCTGTGTAAATGTTAATTATGTTTCATTGTATATCTTAGGACGACTAAGGAATTAGTTTGGCTGTTTAAGACTTAATATATATATGAGAGAGTGGGTAAGTGTTGAAGGACGGTGGAACAAGAAAAAGTTGAGAAATGGAATAGTGTGAGAGATGGAAGAGTGTGAGAGACGGGAGAGGGTGAGGTGGAAGGAGAGGGGACAAGAAAGAGCTGCAGAAGAAGAAATGTTACTGATTGTTAATAAATGTTACTGAACATGTAATAGTTCTAATCCAATGAATACAAATTATTCACAGAGTTTATATTACAAAGAACAACTTAATACTGAAATCCATACATAATAGATCATAGCATTATTAACCTCTTTTTAATAATATAATCATAAGAGTTGATATCTCCGATATGCATCTTCTCGCTGAATATCCCCTCACTTGAGGCTGCTACTCTGGGCTCACATTAACCACATTAACTAACCACAGAGCTGGGAAAGGGGGAGGGGGACTCGAACCTCCGACACTTGACACCTGATGCGCAAACACAGATTTTGTTCTCAAAACACGATAAAATAATATATATAATTAGGACCTCTGTGTGCGCCTTCATATAGGAAGTCGCTCGGTGCCGCCGTCGGTCTAACACGCTGACGAGTCTCTAGAACCTGGTTTATTTTACAATCGATTACTGAACGCCTGCGTCATATGCAGAGATTTACAAATAGGGGAAACAAGCATGTCTATTGTCCTTGTTTATAAAAACATTACAATCACATAAAGAATTACCCTCCACATTACATCGTGTGACACTGAGGTACAGTACTTACACACACACACACACACACACACACACACACACACACACACACACACACACACACATACACACACACACACACACACACACACACACATACACACACACACACACACACATACACATACACACACACACACACACACACACACACACACACACACACACACACACACACACACACACACATACACACACACACACACACACACACACACACACACACACACACACACACACACACACACACACACACACACACACACACACACACACACACACACACACACACGATTCACAAAAAAGGGCTAGAAACAGCTTCCTGACAGTTTTTCTTTTACATGTTTACATATATTATCTACAACATATTGTATTTCTATTATACATAAACTATGACTACAAATAAACAATACAAATGAGATTCCTGTATACAGTATTGGACTTGAACATATAACTCTGCGGCTTATAACCGCCAATAACAAACCACTTCAGTTTCTATAATGATTCTACCGAGCTTGTCATCATATATATATAGGTTATTTGCCATATATATATTAGCTCGTTGGCAAATCAGTCTCGCTGCCCGACACGATGCAAGTTTGAACTCTAACGAAAGTAAACATTAAACACACTATAGTATTGGCAATGACTAGAGGCCAGTAACACGCCCCACCCGCGATACTGTAAGTAGAGGAACCTGGAACCCTCCAGGGTGCAACTTGGAACCATCCAGGTGGCAACTTGGAACCATCCAAGTGGCATCTTGGAACCATCCAGGCAACTTGGAACCGTCCAGGTGGCAACTTGGAACCGTCCAGGTGGCAACTTGGAACCGTCCAGGTGGCAACTTAGAACCGTCCAGGCAACTTGGAACTGTCCAGGCAACTTGGAACCGTCCAGGCAACTTGGGACCGTCCAGGCAACTTGGAACCGTCCAGTCGGCAACTTGGAACCGTCCAGTCGGCAACTTGGAACCGTCCAGATGGCAACTTGGAACCGTCCAGGTGGCAACTTGGAACCGTCCAGGTGGCAACTTGGAACCGTCCAGGCAACTTGGAACTGTCCAGGCAACTTGGAACCGTCCAGGCAACTTGGGACCGTCCAGGCAACTTGGAACCGTCCAGGTGGCAACTTGGAACCGGTCAGGTGGCAACTTGGAACCGGTCAGGTGGCAACTTGGAACCGTCTTGGCGGCAACTTGGAACCGTCCAGGTGACAACTTGGAACCGTCTAGGTGGCAACCTGGAACCATCCAGGTGGCAACTTGGAACCGTCCAGGCGGCAACTTGGAACCGTCCAGGTGGCAACTTGGAACCGTCCAGTCGGCAACTTGGAACCGTCCAGGTGGCAACTTGGAACCGTCCAGGTGGCAACCTGGAACCATCCAGGTGGCAACTTGGAACCGTCCAGGTGGCAACTTGGAACCGTCCAGGTGGCAACTTGGAACCGTCCAGTCGGCAACTTGGAACCGTCTTGGCGGCAACTTAAATGATATCTGAGTAAAGGTAACACCATAAGCACCTGTTAAGTTTGAGTCTACCTGAAAGACTTCTTCTGTGATTTGGTATCATGCCGAGGCAGTTATTAACGTCTATAAATATCAAGAATTTCCGGCCCTGTTCGCCTCTCTGATACTACGTAACGTCTCGCGGCTCAGGAGAGCACGGAGGACACATCTATATATATAACACATGACACATAAGAAATAACATGCTTCATATTAAAGTGTATCATACAATACCTGTACAACATAAGAGTGAGGCTCGCTAATGTATCACAACATATGAAGATAGCCTAAAGGCCCTACACTGTTTACAACAGATAATCCTCTCAAACGTCCTGTGTGCAGTAATGCAACTCATCCTCCACTACAAATAATCTTCAGCCAGTTATATGACATTTGGCTAAGACACCCACCCACCCAAAAGAAACTATATTTTAATACGATTAGTGTCCTCTGTCTTGACCCTGTTGACGGCAAACGTCGCAGGCAGTAATTGTTGCTTTAAGAGAAAGCTTGATGTAGAAGGTCATGATGTGCGCGCGCAGGGAACTTGTATCGTCCACCCAGAATACTCTGATGGGAGGGCGGGAAGGTTAGGTTAGGTTAAAAACACCGAGAGACGTTTATGCCCTATTAGTGAGCAAGTGGGTTCATGGAATAATCAGTAAAGTTGTATCACTTATCACCAGAGTGAATAGCAGCCCAAAATCTGACGGCAAGTTACCGTAAAACTTAGTGACAAAAGTCGACAGAAATTCGGATGAGGGATATAAATGGCTATGTACAAAAGGCATAATTCACTTTTCTCAATCATTAATGTGGCAATCAGAACAAAACCAACGGCTGCTATTGGGAAGCGATGCTCTTTCAGCCTACACTGAATATTTATGTAAACCTTTGCATCAAACCCAACTCTGTGCACTTGCCCAAACTTATACCTGATCCTGTGTCCGAAACTTACCGTGAAACTTTAAACTGGATTCATTAGATGAAGCAACTTCATCATTTGGCTAAAACACCTAAACTTATGTTTACAACTTGCTAAAAAAACTTTACCTGGAATTTGATCTACACGCTTAGCTGCCGTGGCTAGATGCGGCTACTTTAACAAGAGCAGAGCTGACACGCATCATGAGAGCCACACCAGATCCAAAAGCCTTTTTTGGAAGTCATGCTTGCCAGGATAAGTCTAGAGTCTGCAATTGCTCGCCATTCAGCTTAATTATCCATTTGTGTTATAAAAACATACAAATTCCATGGTCTCGGTACCTTGCAATGTTACAGGTATCACACTAATCTTGCCTTAAATTAACTGATCATGGGCAATGTAAAGTGTCGGGTGTTGACCTAACCTTACTAGCACAGCGTGTACCGGAGCTGAAGGGTTAAACTACAATGGCCAGTCACGTGTCCATGATAGCAATGGTTACTTTACGTGACAGTTCTTGGAACTGTCAGTTACAGTTACGTGACAGTTACTGTAAATTGAACATACAATCAGTCACTGTGGTTAACGATCCATAACATTTAGTAACCATTTCTTCAGACTAAATTTTTAGATTTCGTGTCGTTTACAAACATCGAAGTGTAATTGATGGCTTGTTTCTTAAGAATATCTTAAGAACAATCTGGAGACTAACTCCTCTGAGAATCCACGTGATATATTTCAGCAGGTTGGCGTCTCTCCAGTCACTACTGTGTGCTTTTCTATATAAATTTGCCTTTCCTAAAACCATACTGCTGTTCTGCTACAGAAGTCTATCATTATTAAAAAAAGGTCCATTATTTTCTTTCAAATTGTTCCATTCTAGCGTCTAACATATTATGCATATGATGTTAGACACTAGATTCTTGTTTGGTTCTTCTCTTCCCTTATTCCTGCATGTGGATTGGGATGGCATATGCCATCTTCTAGTTGCCTGGCAGCTTTCCCAATTTACAGCTTCACGGTCAATATTGCCACGAGTGATATACTCAGCAACGTTATTCCGAGACTTTTTAGTATCCTCAGTGAGACTTTGATCCCCCAGTCTTTGTTGCATCCAGCCTTAGTAACCTGGTGTACTTGTTTCATAACATAAGTCATATCAGTGTCTGTGTATGTGTGTGTGTGTGTATTTATTCAAGATAATATGGCCTTCATAGATCATGTTACTGTCCACATATTCAATCTGAATGGACTACATATAGCAACTACCGCGCTAATCTCTCTATCCATCTCTCCTGCACGTGGCGGGGCAGGATATGAGCAGGCAACAAGTTCCCTCGATCTGGCGTGACTTAAAAAGAGAAAAAGAAGAGATATCGCCTAATTATCTCGCACAAGAGAATGGGAATTCACTTATTTATGGATTACCGTCATACTGATTACTTCATCTTGACAAACCTTCGCGTGCTTTATATATTTATAATTCTTCAATAGACGCACTTTTTGGAAATAGTGGCGCTAATAATGCAGAAACTAGCAGCCTATTGATCACATGTATATATATATATATATATATATATATATATATATATATATATATATATATATATATATATATATATATATATATATATATATATATACCTGCTATTCAAGATCAATCATGCTTAACGATAGTTAACTGTTACAGGGTACAAAAAAACAAATCTTTAACCTTTCTCACAAGGCGTAAAATCGGGTTGTAAATGCTTCTTACTGTTTGACTGGATTTAGAACACGCATCGCTCTCTGATGTTGTCTCCTGTTGTGTACGTGGTGCCGGCGCCAGCCACACGGGGGCGCCACCCCCCATTACCCGATCTTAAAATATATTTAGAACTACACTCACTGATTCATGTCATTAATATACAGAGTGCCATTTTAATACTGATCATTATATAAGAAATACACAACACTGTCAGTCACAGTATAATACAATACACTGAGTCACAGTATAATTACACAACACTGTCAGTCACAGTATTATTACACAACACTGTCAGTCACAGTATAATACACAACACTGTCAGTCACAGTATAATTACACAACACTGTCAGTCACAGTATTATTACACAACACTGTCAGTCACAGTATAATACACAACACTGTCAGTCACAGTATTATTACACAACACTGTCAGTCACAGTATAATACACAACACTGTCAGTCACAGTATAATACACAACACTGTCAGTCACAGTATAATACACAACACTGTCAGTCACAGTATAATACAATACACTGTCAGTCACAGTATAATACAATACACTGTCAGTCACAGTATAATACACAACACTGTCAGTCACAGTATAATACACAACACTGTCAGTCACAGTATAATTACACAACACTGTCAGTCACAGTATAATTACACAACACTGTCAGTCACAGTATAATTACACAACACTGTCAGTCACAGTATAATTACACAACACTGTCAGTCACAGTATAATTACACAACACTGTCAGTCACAGTATAATACACAACACTGTCAGTCACAGTATAATACACAACACTGTCAGTCACAGTATAATACACAACACTGTCAGTCACAGTATAATACACAACACTGTCAGTCACAGTATAATCGGCGTTTACCTTTGAATCTCAGTGTGGTCAGGTATAACATCAATTCTTTAAAAAGAGTCACTCACAGCATGAATAAAACAGGTTCATATTCATGCTTCAAGACACCAAAGTCAAGAATCCTGTTAACGGAGTAATTTATGCAACTTGGATTTCCATCTACCCAAGGACTCATAATTTTTTTGAGTCATGAGGCCATGGTTGAGTCTGTGGTTGCCACCACTACACTTCCCATAACTGAAGCCCAAACTGTTGTACAGGGCATCAGAATCCCCCACACGATAGATAAGTCTAGTAGATGTATAATGGATACACTTTATAACATTTTACAACAGCCTGAGGTATTTCGCCCTTGTATTATTCACATCGCACTATGACAAGCCATCGTGGCTTAGTACTCTGGTTTATGATACTTATGTACTCAGTTTAAACGTATATTAGAGTACATTTCATTAGGTTTATCTTCGCATCAAGGAACTCCTTCATATATGAATGCAGTTGATGTTCGACTATTCTTTGTAAAGCCTTTGAGTATTATTTAAAGAGGAATAAGCAAACGTGTTATTGCCTAACTTATTGCATAAGCAATATTGCATGGCAGACTAGTGGTCAGAGCCCTCGGGTTCCCGGGACTCTTGTGCTTCATCACAGGTAAACACTGGCCAAGTTTTCTGCTACTGTAAAATGCTAAAGTTCTCAAATACAGAGAACATTACATGTCTCGTCTCCAGTTACAGCATAGTACACGACCTCAACTTTAAAAATTACAGCCTCACTATGATAAAAGTTTGCAACTTTCCCCCCAATAATCTCTCTTGTTGGTCTTGTCGAAATGTAATGGCTTCTGTAACAATGGGAGAGACTGTAATGGCCTCTGTAACACAGGGCGAGACTGTAAACACAGACCCAGTATCTTGATATATACAGATATTTCAATATCTTACATTGCGTTTAACCTCTTTAATACCGATACTGAGCATAACACTCAAGAGTCTGAGCGCTTTTGTCCGTCACACTCCGATTGACTTGCATTAACACGAAGCATCTTTCAGCGTCTTCGGTACAACTTCAGTAAGGAGTCCTCCGCGTCACCTCCCGACTGCGATCTTCCGAGCTCCTCCTGGAGTTCTGTGAGGAATTCGTATATATTTGGGTTGTTCTGAATTACACACGCACGCGCACGCACACCAGGATAGTGCCCCCAACGTGAGTTCTGAACAGGTCGTCTCTGGTGGGGGTCTCTTGTCACGCATCTTTTGGTAAGGTGACAAATGCTACCAGTGGTTCGACATGGTCCTGGGTCGAGACACACTTTTCTTGATTACGTATATTAAGCTTGAATATTGAGTGTGTTATGAACGTACGTGTGTGTGTGTGTGTGTGTGTGTGTGTGTGTGTATGAGAGAGATCGTGTACATTTTAAGCCCGTATCTCATCTAAGTTTTCATCGCCACAAACCTCCCTTGGTCGAGTGGGAAGAGGACCGTTCCACTGGCTGCCATTATCTGCGATGCAGCTGGGTCTAGACCTCACTAGATTCGCTGCAGGTCCCTCAGATCCTGGACTCGCGGGCCTCCTCGGAGACGCTAGGCTCCCTGGGCTCGTTAATGGTCAAGTGGATCTCTGAGGAGTTCCTGGGGTTGGTGTGAGTGTGGGTCCTGACGGCGGAGAGGGTAGGGGTGTCTGGGCCGCCGTACTGTGAGTGGTAGAACTCTTCTCGCATCAGCAGGTTGAGTGACGCACAGCGCAGACACAGGATCTCCTGCGGGGCGACACCACAGATTTGTTAATACTGACATGCACCAAAAAATCTGCAATGCGATTCGAAACTGAAATGATTTAACATGTTTAATATGCATAGAGAAATCGGGTAATCTATAACTGCAATATTATGCAGTTAAGATGATCATGATGTCTGTGTACACAAACGTGCCCACAGTCATGCGGTCCTGATGAGAAGACATAATACATTCCGTCGATCTAAATTAGTGGAATGGCTTAAATTTTGAAAATCTGTATTCCCTAGAAACCAGGTGGGAGAGATACATGCTAATTTACACTTGAAAAATTCTAGGACGACTGGTTCCAAATTTACACACGGAAATAACACCACATGAGTCCAGGATGCATGGCAGGATGTGCAGAATAGTTCCACTGAAAAGCAAAGGTGCAATAGGTACGCTGCGCCAGAGTTCTACCAACATCAAAGGCCCAAGACTATTCAACACTCTCCCTCTATTCACAAGGGACATATCTGGCCGACCTCTCACTGTGTTCAACAGAGCGCTTGATAAACAGGCTCTGATTCATACGGGTCGACGTTCAATCCCCGACCAAATGTTTGGGCACCATTCCTTTCCCCCCCGTCCCATCCCAAATCCTTATCCTGGCCCCTTCCAACTGCTATATAATCGTAATAGCTTGGCGCTTTCCCTTGATAATTCCCTCTGTTTCATACGTCAAGCTGCGAGCAGCCGCGTCCAACAGCCTCCTTGACCAGATCACCAATCAGGAGGTCTGGTCAAAGACTGCCACTGGGACGTGAACACGAAATATACAACATCAAACAATATTTCAGGAATATCAGCTAGTTAATTATAGGAAAGTTAATTATATTAAATACTAGAATATGTTAAATAGTTAGGCGTAACTTTGGTAGTTAGATTTTGTTGGCAATTATTTGGTATCAAATACTTAAATGTTTTCTTCTTGAGCGAAATTAGATATTCTTTCGCGGTCCTTCTATGACTGAAGGCAGAGGGGGGGGGGGGGGTCAAGTAACATAACAGTGGCCCAGGTGGTTGAAGGATAGCCAGGTGGTCAAGGAGACTTAAAAATTTACACGCAAGAAAGCAAAAATAAATCAAATTAGTTCCCAAGTTTCATAAGGGGGAAAAAAAAATTGAAACTCTACGTGTGAACATTAAAGATGCCACGATACGAACCCCAAAAGGATGACATCTTAAAACGGTTGGTAAAATATATCGAAGGTGGTGGGAGTTCAGTGTGTGGGGGGGGGGGGAGGTTTGGAGAGGCATCAGGCTAGAGGAGAGGGGAAGGGGGTGTGAGGGGGGAAGTAGGGAGGGTAGAGGAGAGGGGAAGGGGGTGTGAGGGGGGGGAAGTAGGGAGGGTAGAGGAGAGGGGAAGGGGGTGTGAGGGGGGGAAAGTAGGGAGGGTAGTGAATACATTGACGATCCTACACGAGTAAGCTTTTATCTGCCATCCCCAGCTGGCGTTCTCTTCCTCAATCTTGCTACGGTGGAGCCGAGATCTCTCTCCCTCCTCCTCCCGCTTCCATTTACTCGTCTCGGGATCTTATTTGATCTATTGGATACAGCCGCGTGTGTTTGTATATATATATTCAAGAATGGCTGAAGGATATATAAATGATTGTTCTTGTGGTTGCCCAGTGTTCTAATGTGTTCGTTTTTAAGCCTGTCGCAATGCGGGAGATTAATGTTAGATTCATCATGACAAAGTTTCACGTTCGAGATACGAATGCCTTGAAATGATTTATTACAGACATGAGGGCACCTCTCTCTCTCTCTCTCTCTCTCTCTCTCTCTCTCTCTCTCTCTCTCTCTCTCTCTCTCTCTCTCTCTCTCTCTCTCTCTCTCTCTCTCTCTCTCTCTAACTTCGAGTTTTAACGTCAAATCTGCACGTCGCCAGCAATTCATCACTGGAATTTTTCGTCCTCTGGTGGGACTGAAGTTGGATTTGCTGAGAGATCTTTAGCTCCAGAGCAAATCTATTTTTCATCTTTCGTGAAGGAATTTGAATTTTCGTGGAGGAATAAGCCAAGTCGCCCACCTGTCAGTACTCTAGTACACCCATCTGTCAGTACTCTGGTACACCATTTACCAGTACTCTGGTACACCATCTACCAGTACTCTAGTACACCATCTACCAGTACTCTGGTTCACCCATCTACCAGTACTCTGGTACACCATCTACCAGTACTCTGGTACACCATCTACCAGTACTCTGGTACACCATCTACCAGTACTCTGGTACACCACCTACCAGTACTCTGGTACACCATCTACCAGTACTCTAGTACACCACCTACCAGTACTCTAGTACACCACCTACCAGTACTCTAGTACATCACCTACCAGTACTCTAGTACACCACCTACCAGTACTCTAGTACACCACCTACCAGTACTCTGGTACACCACCTACCAGTACTCCGGTACACCACCTACCAGTACTCCGGTACACCACCTACCAGTACTCTGGTACACCATTTAACAGGATATAAAAGCATGGGAGGATTGCGTATTTCTAGACGGCCAAAAAGCTTCCGTCACGCTTCAGCATAAAAGACTGCTAAACAAGCTTGAGAAGCAGGCGATAGTGAGTGAATGAGCATTGAAACGGCTGAGAGAGTACCGAGCAGGCAGGAATCAGAGTCGCAATGTGAGGCTAAAACTCAAAAATACCTCAAAGATCGGTGCTAAGAGCCACAGTTCCTCATCCATGTTCATGACCTAAATAAGAGGTCTGAGTCTTGCATATCGATGCTCACAGACAATGCGTCATCAAATTACTCGAAGATGACTTGTACAAGCAGCAGATTTGGTGCGACAAATGGCTACTAGATTTCAACACTGGTAAGTGTAAGGTGATAAAGACCTTACAGATCGGATCACTTGAGAGGAGACCAGTGGTACGACTCACACTGGACAGAACTACTTCCCTGTAATGACAAGCCAAAAAAGATCTAGGAGTGGATATAATACTAGTCCTAATTCCGTAGGCCTAATTTCGTAGGCCTAATTTCGTAGGCCTCGAGAAAATAAGTCAGCATCAGTAGCATACTCGATATGAGTCGAACGTCAAAATAGCAATCAAGAACTATTTGCTTTGGAACGAGAAATGGCTACTGGATTTCAACACTAGCAAGTGTAAGGTGATTTGGTCTCCTTATTGGACTGAATAAGGAGACATTTAGATCACTGTACACCACCTACATGAGACCAGTTCTAGAGCATGCAGCCCCACCTTTGACAAGCACACAAGGAAACTTGAAAAGGTACAGAGGTTTACAATGATTCTCGTCCCATAATTACGAGGGATGAGATATGAAGGGGGACTGAAAGTACTGGACCTATCGTCGCTAGAAAAATCGGAAGAATGAGGAGCCACGAGACGTATAAAATACGTAGAGGGATAAACAGAGTGAAACACGAGGAAATGTTTGCCATTTAGGGGAGGATTTACTGGGCGCAATTCCTTAACTGTAGCCTCTGTTTAACGCAACAGTAAAATGTGTACTTGGATGAAAAAACGATTCTTCGCGGCAGGGGATCGTATTCCAGGGACCATAGGATTAAGGACCTGCCCGAAACGCTACGCGTACTAGTGGCTGTACAAGAATGTAACAACTCTTGTATATATCTCAAAAAAAAAAAAAAAAAATTATGCCAACAGAACAAAAAAGCGCGGATGGAAGCTGGAGAAACAGGTCAGCTGTAAAGATGTTAGGGAGCTTTTAATCGGACAAGAATGGTAAGAAACTGCAAAGCTTCAGCATAAAAGCTCTATAACCTGCTCTATAACACCAGCAGGTTATAGAGGTAAATATGATAGAAAAATAGCTCAGTAGTCATATTGCATTATACAACCAGCAGCGTGAGTGGAGGGGCCCAAGAGCTGAAGCTCGAGCCTGCGGGGTACAAGACTCTTACAGAGACGAAACATAAGCAAATAAGTTTGTGATCAATTTGTGTCAAAATGGCACGTGGCTAGTGACCCCAGGTGTGACCAGTGACCCCAGGTGTGGCTAGTGACCCCAGGTGTGGCCAGTGACCCCAGGTGTGACCAGTGACCCCAGGTGTGACCAGTGACCCCAGGTGTGGCCAGTGACCCCAGGTGTGGCTAGTGACCCCAGGTGTGGCCAGTGACCCCAGGTGTGGCTAGTGACCCCAGGTGTGACCCCAGGTGTGGCCAGTGACCCCAGGTGTGGCCAGTGACCCCAGGTGTGGCTAGTGACCCTAGGTGTGACCAGTGACCCCAGGTGTGACCCCAGGTGTGGCTAGTGACCCCAGGTGTGACCAGTGACCCCAGGTGTAACCCCAGGTGTGGTCAGTGACCCCAGGTGTAACCCCAGGTGTGGCCAGTGACCCCAGGTGTAACCCCAGGTGTGGTCAGTGACCCCAGGTGTAACCCCAGGTGTGGCCAGTGACCCCAGGTGTAACCCCAGGTGTGGCCAGTGACCCCAGGTGTGACCAGTGACCCCAGGTGTGGCTAGTGACCCCAGGTGTGACCAGTGACCCCAGGTGTGGCTAGTGACCCCAGGTGTGACCAGTGACCTCAGGTGTGACCCCAGGTGTGGCTAGTGACCCCAGGTGTAACCCCAGGTGTGGCCAGTGACCCCAGGTGTGACGAGTGACCCGAAGAAAGTGAGGGGGAGGGTAATTAACCAAGGTCACAGGTCAGTGTGACCTCCACCACTCTCTGGAAGCAAAGTGATAAAACTGAGTCGACTCGTATCAATATAAGCTGTGACACGGACTACTAATAGATCGCTACAACATCAATGTGCGTGTACAGAGGTGCAGAAACTACACCTACAGCGTACAGAGGTGCAGAAACTACACCTACAGCGTACAGAGGTGCAGAAACAACACCTACAGTGTACAGAGGTGCAGAAACTACACCTACAGCGTACAGAGGTGCAGAAACTACACCTATAGCGTACAGAGGTGCAGAAACTACACCTACTGCGTACAGAGGTGCAGAAACAACACCTACAGTG